AATGATGCTATTCGAGAAAGAAAAAGGAATCTAAAGTCACTCAAGAGGCCACACAAGGAGTACCCCTATAAGTTTACACATTTACAGTACAAGTATGAAAGATAGGACAACCTATCGAAGGACAAAATAAAAGAATGGTGTGAATATATAACATTATCTAGGGAGATTAAAATTTAAGCCAAAGGGAAAAAAGCTAAAAGCAATTAAAGGTGTTTTTCTAGTTGTGTTCCATGGAAGGGAAACAATCTGATATTTAAGGTAACTAGTAGAATACTATTCCTATTTTCACCTTCAGGCATTCATTCAACACATCTTTATTGTATGCCACCCTTGTACCAAGCACTGATCTTAGTAGGACACAAAACAAAGTCCCTGTCCTTGTGGAGCCTGCATTCATCATAATCTCAGTTTGGAAAATACAGAACAAATTCTGAAAAAGGTGAACTGAAAAGAGATTATAAGAGTTTTCAATTGTTTTAAATGAATTCAGATCTTCTGATTTAGACAAAAATCCATCCCAAGTATGACGAGTACTTCAAGATGAGATAACTGAAGTGTTTGAGAAATCAGAGTCTAGTTAGTATACCAAAGACACAAAAAGTTCTTACTTCTGAAAGCAAAGAAAGGTATTTTCTATAAAGTGTAACTCAGTGAACCTGAAAGTGACCCTCAGCAAGACTCTTAGGTACACTATAAAAAGAATGGTTTATAAGGATTTTGTAAGGGAAGAGGGCTGTGGAGAGTAGGAACCAGAGAAAGTCAAAATAAGTCATGCCATAGTAAACTAATATTTTGTTTTCAAAAATATTACTAGATTTGGAGTGAGGAGGGAGGGTACTGCTTATGCAATGTATCTAAAGTTCAGCCTTTATGATCTTTGTATAAATAATGCAGAAATTGAATCTGGATGCTAGGTGCACATTTCATAACTGGTTGAAGGATGAGCAAAGGGGATTTGTTAATCTGATGGGTTGGTAGGAGAAGGGTCTCAAGTGTAATATTTCAGGATGTGTCATCCTAAACCTTGTTCTTTTCACTATCTTTGTTCATGAGTTGACTAAGAACACAAGCCTACCAATAAAAAGGATACTGATAGAAACCAATGAATGCATAAGTAAATGGAACAATAAATTGATGTCTGTCTCTCCTTCCCTCCTCCCCCCTCTAAAATCAATCAACAAATAAAAGAGTTAAGATTACTATTATTAGAGAGAGCTTTGTGCTAAAAAGAATTATTATTAAAATTGTTTTTAAGGGGCTTTTATTGTATGTTTAAGAAAAATGAGGTAGTTAGATGACTTATTAAGATCTTTCCACCCAGTGTGGTTCAATTGGTTGAAAGATTGCTGGTTTGATTCCTGGTCAGGGCACATGCCCAGGTTTCAGGGTCAATCCCTGGTGGAGGGGTTGGAGGGCAGGCAGGAGGCAGCCAATCATATTTCACTCTCACATAAATGTTTCTCTGTCTCTCCCTCCTTCTCCCTTCCTCTCTCTCTCAATAATCAATTTGAAAATATTAAAAAAAAAAAAAAAAAGGAAAAAAAAAAAAAAAAAAAGGAACGGGGGTGGGGTGGGGTCTGTAACCAGAACCCAGAAGGAGTCAAATACCAAAGGACACAGCCAAGGTAGGGTGACCTCACAAGTGAGGGAAATTTTTTTTAAAAAAGACCTTTCCAAATTAGTTTCGGTGACTGTCAATTTAGAATACCATCCACTTACATTAAAATAAATGTGAACAGAATGATAAATATAAGTGTTAGGCTGATGTATACATCACACAGAAGTTCTCTCTCTCAATTACAGGGGTTCCTATTTCATCTGCTGTCGCGGGTGTGGCAGTAGGATTGGTGACCAAAAACAATCCTGATAAGGATGAAATAGAAGATTATCGTTTGCTAACAGATATTCTGGCAAGTATATTCACATTTTCCAATACTTAATGGTAAAGATTATACATACTTTACATGCATCTTTGCTTAAAAGAATGCTAGGACTCAAGAAATAGAGGTCCTTGTTCTTGATTTCTTCCTCTACATTTTCTCCTTGTTTTTTATAGGATGTGAGTTAAAAATATATATTACATATAAATATCCATAGTTTTGCCAAACCGGTTTGGCTCAGTGGATAGAGCGTCAGCCTGCGCACTGAAAGGTCCCGGGTTCGATTCCGGTCAAGGGCATGTACCTGGGTTGCGGGCACTTCCCCAGTGGGGGATGTGCAGGAGGCGGCTCATCGATGTTTCTCTCTCATCGATGTTTCTAACTTTCTATCTCTCTCCCTTCCTCTCTGTAAAAAATCAATAAAATATATTTTTTAATAAAAAAAATAAAATAAAATAAATATCCATAGTTTAGCTAACTTTAGGATAATCGTAAATTAATCCTTATGCTTTTAGGGAAAAACATGATCTAAAATAGTGATTTTTCAGATGAAATATTTGTAACTTAAAAGTCACAAATTGGAAGCAGTTAAAATATGTGTGTCATCTTAGAGGACACAGTTTACTATATCTAAAGCTATTTTTTAAAATTTCTCTACAATGATAATGAGTGAATTTTGTTTGTATTTAAAACTAAATCACAATTTTTTAAATTCCTTAAGGGAATTGAAGATTACAATGGTGACATGGATTTCAAAATAGCCGGCACTAATAAGGGAATAACGGCATTACAGGTATTTTTAAACTCATTTTGTTTCATTTTTATAATACTTAATAATGTCGTGAATCAGTATTTATATAATATTTGGCTTTTCCTTGTTAGGCTGATATTAAATTACCCGGAATACCATTAAAAATTGTAATGGAGGCCATTCAACAAGCCACAGGTAAGCCAAGCCAGTGTGCCTCATTCTCCTTTCATCATTATCTACTTTGTTAATGGAACTCTAATTCCCAGTAGGCTTATTATAAAAAACTAGAGGCCCGGTGCACAAAAATTTGTGCACTCAGGGAGGAAGGGGTTCCCTCAGCCCAGCCTGTGCCCTCTCGCAGTCTGGGACCCCTCAGGGGATGATCATCTGCCGGCTTAGGCCCGCTCCCTGGGGGATTGGGCCTAAGATGGCAGTCAGACATCACTCTGGCAGCTTGGGAGTCCTTGCGGGATGCCCACTTGCCAGCGGGGAGAATGCCTAAGCTGCAGTCGGACATCCTTAGTGCTGCTGAGGAGGCGGGGGGGGGTC